TCCCAAATCATTTTATGAGACCAACATCCTGATACCAAAATCCGGCAGAGACTCAACAAGAAAAGAACACTTCAGGCCAATATCCATGATGAACATAGATGCAAAAATCTTCAATAAAATACTGGCAAACTCATTGCAACAGCACATCAAAAAGTTTATCCACCATGGTCAATTAGGCTTCATCCTGGGGATGCAAGGCTGGTTTAACATACACAAGTCTATAAACGTAATTCACCACATAACCAGAACCCAAGACAAAAACCACATGATTATCTCAATTGATGCAGAGAAGGCCTTTGACAAAATTCAACAGCCTTTTATGCCAAAAACCCTCAATAAACCAGGTATTGATGGAACGTGTCTCAAAATAAAAAAAGCTATTTACGACAAACCAACAGCCAATATCATACTGAATGGGCAAAAACTGGAAGCATTCCCTTTGAAATCTGGCGCTAGACAAGGATGCCCTCTCTCACCACTCCTATTCGATATATTATTGGAAGTTCTAGCCAGAGCAGGAAGGTAAGAAAAAGAAATAAAGGGTATTCAAATAGGAAAGGAGGAAGTCAAATTGTCTCTATTTGCAGATGACATGATTGTATATTTAGAAGACCCCATCATCTCAGCCCAAAATCTCCTGAAACTGATAAGCAACTCCAGCAAAGTCTCAGGATACAAAATCAATGTGCAAAAATCACAAGCTTTCCTATACACCAATAACAGACTTAAAGAGAGCCAAATCGAGAACGAACTGCCATTCACAATTGCTACAAAGAGAATAAAATACCTAGGAATACAACTAACAAGGAATGTAAAGGACCTCTTCAAGGCAAACTACAAACCACTGCTCAAGGAAATAAGAGAGGACACAAACAGATAGAGAAACATTCCATGCTCGTGGTTAGGAAGAATCAATATGAAAATGGCCATACTGCCCAAAGTAATTTAGAGATTCAATGCTATCCCCATCCAGCTACCAGTAACCTTCACAGAAATGGAAAAAACCACCTGAAACTTCATATGGGACCAAAAGAGAGCCCACATAGCCAAGTCATTTCTAAGCAAAAAGAACAAAGTTGGAGGCATCACACTACCGGACCTGAAACTATCCTACAAGGCTACAGTAATCGAAACAACATAATACTGGTACCAAAACAGCGATATAGACGAATGAAACAACAGAGGCCTCGGAGGCAACACTACACATCTACAACCATCTCATCTTTGACAAACCTCACAAAAACAAGCAATGGGGAGAGATTTCCTGTTTAATAAATGGTGTTGGGAAAACTGGCTAGCCATGTGCAGAAAGCAGAAACTGGACCCCTTCCTGACACCTTACACTAAAATTAACTCCAGATGGATTAAAGACTTAAACATAAGACCTAACACCATAAAAACTCCAGAAGAAAATCTAGGCAAAACCATGAGGACATAGGCATAAGCAAGGACTTCATGACCAAAACACCAAAAGCATCGGCAACAAAAGCCAAAATAGACAAATGGGACCTAATCAAACTCTACAGCTTCTGCACAGCAAAAGACACAGTCATTAAAGTGAATTAAGAAGCAACAGAATGGGAAAAAATTTTTATATAATCTACCCATCTGACAAAGGGCTAATATCCAGAATCTATAAAGAACTAAAACAGATTTACAAGAAAAAAACAAGCCCATTCAAAAGTGGGCGAAGGATATGAACAGACAGTTTACAAAAGAAGACATACATGAGGCCAACAAACATGAAAAAATGCTCATCATCACTGGTCATTAGAGAAATGCAAATCAAAACCACATTGAGATACAGTCTCACGCCAGTTAGAATGGCAATCATTAAAAAATCTGGAGACAACAGATGCTGGAGAGGATGTGGAGAAATAGGAACACTTTTACACTATTGGTGGGAGTGTAAATTAGTTCAACCATTGTGGAAGACAGTGTGGCTATTCCTCAAGGACCTAGAAACAAATTCCATTTGACCCAGCAATCCCATTACTGGGTATATATCCAAAGGAGTATAAATCATTCTACTATAAGGACACATGCACACAACTGTTCATTGCAGCACTGTTTACAATAGCAAAGACCTGCAACCAACCCAAATGCCCAACGATGATGGACTGGACAGGGAAAATGTGGCACATATGCACCATGAAATATTATGCAGCCATCAAAAACAATGAGTTCATGTCCTTTGTAGGGACATGGATGAACCTGGAAACCATCATTCTCAGCACACTGACACAAGAGCAGAAAATCAAACACCGCATGTTCTCACTCATAGGTGGGTGTTGAACTATGAGAACACATGGAAACAGGGAGGGAAGCACTACACACTGGGGTCTGTTGGGGGGAAATAGGGGACGGACAGTGGGGGGTGGGGAGTTGGGGAGAGATAGCATGGGGAGAAATGCCAGATATAGGTGAAGGGGAGGAAGGCAGCAAATCACACTGCCATGTGTGTACCTATGCAACTATCTTGCATGTTCCTCGCATGTACCCCAAAACCTAAAATGCAATAAAGAAAAAAAAAAAAGAAATAGGGGCCGGGCGCGGTGGCTCAAGCCTGTAATCCCAGCACTGTGGGAGGCCGAGGCGGGTGGATCACAAGGTCAAGAGATCGAGACCATCCTGGTCAACATGGTGAAACCCCGTCTCTACTAAAAATACAAAAAATTAGCTGGGCATGGTGGCGTGTGCCTGTAATCCCAGCGACTCAGGAGGCTGGGGCAGGAGAATTGCCTGAACCCGGGAGGCGGAGGTTGCAGTGAGCCGAGATTGCGCCATTGCACTCCAGCCTGGGTAACAAGAGCGAAACTCCGTCTCAAAAAAAAAGAAAAGAAAAGAAATAGCTTTAACCATAGAAGTACAAGACTTTACACTTAAAAGTACAAAGTATTATTAAAAGAAATTAAAGATGTATATAAATGGAAAGACATCCCGTGTTCATTGATTTGAAGACATATTATTAAAATTGCACTACTCCCCAAATTGATCCACAGATTCAATGCAATCCCTAAAAAATATTCCACTTGGATATTTTACAGAGATTGAGAACTTAATCCTAATGTTTATATGGAATTACAAGGGATACAGAATAGCCAAAGCAATTTTGAGAAAGAAATTGTCAGGAAGGGGTCCAGTTTCTGCTTCCTGACACATTACACTAAACTCCAGATGGATTAGAGACTTAAACATAAGACCTAACACCATAAAAACCCTAGAAGAAAATCTAGGCAAAACCATTCAGGACATAGGCATAGGCAAGGACTTCATGACTAAAACGCAACAAAAGCCAAAATAGACAAATGGGATCTAATTAAACTCCAGAGCTTCTGTATAGCAAAAGAAAATCATTAGAGTGAACTGGCAGCCAACAGAATGGGAAAAAATTTTTGCAATCTACCCATCTGATCAAAGGCTAATATCCAGAATATACAAAAACTTAAACAGATTTACAAGGAAAAAAAAACATCCAAAAGTGGGAGGACATGAACAGACACTTTTCAAAAGGAGACATATATGAGGCCAACAAACATAAGAAAAGATGCTCATCATCACTGATCATTAGATAAATGCAAATCAAAACCACATTGAGATACCACCTCATGCCAGTTAGAATGGTGATCATTAAAAAATCTGGAGACAACAGATGCTGGAGAGGATGTGGAGAAATAGGAACACTTTTACACTGTTGGTGGGAGTGTAAATTAGTTCAACCATTGTGGAAGACAGTGTGGCACTTCCTCAAGGACGTAGAAATATAAATTCCATTTGATTTAGCAATCCCATTACTGGTATATACCCAAAGGATTATAAATCATTCTATTATAAAGACATATGCACATGTATGTTCATAGCAGCATTGTTTACAATACCAAAGACCTGGAACCAACCCAAATTCCCATCTACGATAGACTGGACAAGGAAAATGTGGCACATATATACCATGGAATACTATACAGCCATAAAAAAATTATGAGTTTGTGTCTTTTGCAGTGACATGGATGAATCTTGAAACCATCATTCTCAGCAAACTGACACAAGAACAGAAAATCAAACACCACATGTTCTCACTCATAGGCGGGTGTTGAACAATGAGAACACATGGACACAGGGAGGGGAGCATCACACACTGGGGTCTGTTGGGGGAGGGCAAGGGAGAGACAGTGGGGGTGTGGATAGGTCAGGGAGGGATAACATGGGGAGAAATGCCAGATATAGGTGATGGGGGGGATGGAGGCAGCAAACCACATTGCCATCTGTGTACCTATGCAACAATCCTGCATTATCTCACATGTACCCCATAACCTAAAGTACAATTAAAAAAAGAAAAAGTTAAAAAAATAATCTGGAGACAACAGATGCTGGAGAGGATGCAGAGAAATAGGAACACTTTTACACTGTTGGTGGGAGTGTAAATTAGTTCAACCATTGTGGAAGACAGTGTGGCGATTCCTCAAGGACCTAGAAATAGAAATTCCATTTGACCCAGCAATCCCATTACTGGGTATATATCCAAAGGATTATAAATCATTCTACTATAAGGACACATGAACACGAATGTTCATTGCAGCACAGTTTACAATAGCAAAGACCTGCAACCAACCCAAATGCCCAACGATGATGGACTGGACAGGGAAAATGTGGCACATATATACCATGGAATACTATGCAGCGATAAAAAATGAGTTCATGTCCTTTGTAGGGACATGGATGAACCTGGAAACCATCAGTCTCAGCAAACTGACACAAGAACAGAAAATCAAACACCACATGTTCTCTCTCATAGGTGGGTGTTGAACAATGAGAACACATGGACACAGGGAGGGGAGCATCACACACTGGGGTGTGTTGGGAGGCAAGAGGGGAGGGACAGCAGGGGGTTGGAAGTTGGGGAGAGATAGCATGGGGAGAAATGCCAGATATAGGTGACGGGGAGGAAGGCAGCAAATCACACTGCATGTGTGTGCCTATGCAACAATCTTGCATATTCTTCACATGTACCCAAAAACCTAAAATGCAATTAAAAAAAAAAAAAAGGCTAATGAAGTTAATCACTTGTTAGTAACTACTGTCTACCAAAATGACTACGTGCAAGCAATCCTGCCTGGAGGAAGTTAAGGACAAAGAGATAAAAACTAAGTAAACTAAATACCTGATGATTTTTATAGTATCTGCTGTGTTATCATATCCTCACTGACACTGTTCCATTCCTCAATCTTGAGTTGGGATGTTGACTCAGTATAACTACTTCCTGCTTGCAAGGGGCATCCCTAGTGGGCTGAGGAATGGAACTTCTTTACCTGCAATTGAAAATACTCAATGTCCCAGGACTTGGGCAATTTTGTTGTAGCATCGTTGAACAGGGTGTCAGGAACTTCAGAGAGGCAACCTTGCAATCCCACATGTATAGTGCAGCAGCAGTATAATCCACAGCCTAGGAGTATTCCTGTACCTATAGTCATAGCTAGAATTACCAGTAATTTTTTCCACAAGGGTTGTGACCAGAACCATGAAGATAGTCATCGGCTTAGTGACATCATGAAGTTAGACACAGTATCAGTTTGTACATATCTTGAAGGGCCAGGGTGATGTTTCCTTAATTGCTTGGAATGTACACATAGCATTCAGTTTTTATTATGGCACAAGTTCTTGTGCAGCCATGAAGACATTGAGGGCCATGTGGTTCTACAAGACTGCTTTTCTCATCATAGTCATCTGAGAGGTGACTAAAGAGATGCCTTTGCATCTTTTAGCACATGCTGGGTATAATTTGTTAGGATCTCAACATGTCAGATAACATTTTCTAAACTAACTTGGGGAACAGAAATGGATAGGGGATGGTCATACCAGAGGAAAACCGACTTGGTCCATTGGTGGAACACATTTGAGAAATTTGAGGGTTGTCTGTTGGTTTTTGACAAATGGCTCTGGATCTGTGGGAATCCCAGAGCATATTGTCCTATCTGGCTAATGGGTAATCTAGGCCAAAGATTAGTCCCACATTGCCATTGAATTTCATATGCAGTTAGCCATAGAATTCCTGGCCTGTGTCCAATCAATAGCAAACCAGTCAGTTTCCTGCAGCCTTGAAGTGTGTTCACATTGGTGGGGGAGCATCCAGCCCATATTCTTAGTGATATTTGTCCAGTGATCATAAGAATGCTTTTGTTGTTGTTCCCAACATAAAGGGGAAATTTGATTTATGCAGCTGGTGGCAGGGTAAGTGTTGGGTAGCACTATCATTCAAAGATAATCCCAAGTGTGATAAAAAACTTTCTTCAGTGTAGCGGCTGTTAATAGCCAAAATTTGGGGAGCTGCCGAGGGAAATTCCTTCATGAGAGTAGTATATTCAGAAGTTTGTTGAACACTGATTTATAGTAAAAGATTTTCTGTGACCTGGGTTGTGAAGCATTCTATTAATGCCAGGCCTTACAGTTTCTCATGTTAGCACACCAGAGACCTAGTTTTTATTGGAATGGTATTTCATAAAAGTTTGTTAATGTACCCAGTGGTCTCCTTGCAAGGGCAAGACCCACCAAGGTAATACAGAGGTGCTAGAGATAGGTAACAGTCCTCAAACTCAATGAGCTTCTGTAGGCTATGTGCATAATGTGCCCATTGTAGGAAAAGATTGGTTTCAGCAGATACTATAAGCATTTATTACTGTGGTATTTAGCAGGAATCTCAAAATTAAATGACAGAAGGTGTCATTTATCTATGGATATTTTCTTAAAAAGCAGCTTCAGGTTTTTAGTTGGTTCACATATCCATTCAGGTCTGTTAAACTGATAGGTTGGGCTGAGGAGGGGCAATTTTTATCCAGGTATAAGGTACCCATGGTTTAATTCCTGCCTGATAGATGAATGCACGATCAGAAGATCCTCATAGAGTCTTACCTTTTGAGGGACTAGTTGGTGATCGAATCCAGTCTCCCTCCAGGTTTTAATTAAGACTTGGTCTGCAGCCTGGAAGGGATGAAGTGGCATGTCTGTGGAGAAAAAGCAAACTCATGAACAGAAGGCAGTATTTCATTTAGCAATTTTAAATAATGTCTAATAGCTCCTTCCCTTTCTAAGATATTATAGCTTGATCTTAGCCCCAAGGTGGCTAGGAAAGGTCTCTCATACATAATTTCTAAAGGGCTCAACTGGAGCCTGTTTCAGGGAATGACCCAAATCCTCAGGAGACAAAGTCGTACTTTGTCTCAAGTTAGATTAGTTTCCTGGCACATTTTAGCAACAGTTTTTTTTTTTTTTTTTTTTTTGAGACAGAGTCTCATTCTGTTGCCCAGGTTGGAGTGCAGTGGCATGATCTCTGATCACTGCAATTTCCACCTCCCACATTCAAGCAATTCTTGTGCCTCAGCCTCCCAAGTAGCTGGGACTATAGGCACATGTCTCCATCCAGCTAATTTTTTGCATTTTTAGTAGAAATGGGATATTGCCATGTTGGCCAGGCTGGTCTCAAACTCCTGGCCTCAAATAATTTGCCTGCCTCAGCCTCCTAAAGTGCTGGGATTACAGGCGTGAGCCACCACACCTGGCCTAATTATTCTTTAAATAGTTTGATTCAGTTTTTTAGTCTTTCTGATGGGCTGTGTCTGTGCTACATGAAGTTTCCATTCAGTGTCTAGGACTTGAGACACTTCCTGTACTACCTGAGAGACGAACGAACACCACAGCATTGTCACTCTGACTCATCAAAGGGAGTTCATACCGGGGAATTATCTCTTTAGTAAGGTGTGGGTCACTTCGGCTGCCCTTTCTGTTCGGATAGGGTATACCTCTACCCATCCTGTAAATGTGTCTACAAAAATCCAAAAAGATGGTTTTTGTACAAAAAGATGCCCAGTAGCCTCCAGGTGCCTGTGACATTGTGGTGAAATTAACTTGCTAATTCTTGCATGAAGAGTGCCCTCGCTGTTGTACCCCCAAATGGGTAGGACCCAGTTTTAGGGCAGTTTGAGCACATTACCTTTTCAGCCTCCTGGAAGAGGCTGCAAGTTGCAGCAATTGCTAAGAGGCAGGGGGACCAACCCCTGGCCACCTGGTAAAACTGTTTAGAGAAATAGGCAGTCGGTTTTCAGTCAGTTCCTAAGTTTTGAGTTAGGACTCCCAAGTCCATGCCTTGTTTTTTGTGTACAAATAAATCAAAGGGCATTCTTAAATCTGGAAGGCCCAGCACAGAGGCAGTCTTTAACTTTTCCTTGACTTTATTTATTTTGAGATGGAGTTTCATTCTTCTTGCCCAGGCTGGAATACAGTGGTGCGATCTCTGCTCACTGCAACCTCCGCCTACTGGATTCTCCAGCCTCAGCCTCCTGAGAGCTGGGATTATAAGTGCTTGCCACAACGCCTGGCTAATTTTTGTATTTTTTAGTAGAGATTGGTTTCACCATGTTGGCCAGGCTGGTCAAGAACTCTTGACCTCAGGTGATCCGACTGCCTTGGCTTCCCAATGTGCTGGGATTACAGGCATGAGCCACCGTGCATGGCCTCTTTGACTTTAACAAAAGAATTTTGGCATTCTGAAGTCCAGATCAGGGGCTCAGATTTTTTTCCTTTGAGGGCCCAACATTCAGAATCCAAATTCAACAGAATCCCACCATTCCTAGAAATCATTGCAATTCTTTACAGGAGATGGGGACAGTTACCCAGGCAATTACCTCCAGGTGGCCAAAAGGAGGGTTTCTGTGCCCCTTATTCACTTCAGACGTGAAATATTTTAACTTCTTTTGGCAGATCCGGGCTTTCTTCTTGGAAACCCAGTAGCCTGGTTCCACTAGGAAAATCAGTGCTTGAATGGTATTTTCAAGGAAAGCTCTTAAGGTCTTGCAACAAAGATTTCAACCACATATTGTAAAAGCACTACTTCTGTCAGCCGAAGTTCCCTTAAATTTCCATGCCAAAAATTTCCCAAAGATTGTAAGGGAATTTTTAAGCCCTTGAGAAAACACTGACAGTACCCCTGATTGACCTGTGTTCCAGCCTCAGCCATTCAAATGCAAAGATCTCTTGTGATTCCTCGTCTAATGCAAAAGAAGGCATCTTTTTAATCCAAATCTGTAAACCAACATAGTTCTCCTGAAAAGGTGATCAGCAAGCTATAGTGGTTAGGTACCATGGGTTATATGTCCTAGACTATTTCATTACTAGCCCTAAGTCTTGTACAAACTTGTAGTCGTCTTAACGGGACTTGCATGGTGGTAAAACAAAATGTTAAAGAGAGGATTATAGGACCAAATCAGTCCTTGTGCCAAAAAAGGCTTCCAAGAGTGGTTGAGTCTCCTTCTATGCCACTTCCTTTAATGGATACTCTGTGTCTCTCTTTTCATTTAATTGCTATGGGTCTGGCTGTGACCACTCTCCCTGGCTTCCCCTGGCCCAAACATCTCTCCTTACCTGCATGAGAATTTCTTCTGGAATGACCTGAACCTCTTCGTTTTCTGGTTGGAGCAGGAATATTTGAAACCTGCAAACTTACTCAGAAGGAATCATTATATCTAGGCATCTGAGGGGAAAGAAGTTGAGCATACAATTTGGCAAGCAAATCCCAGCCCAGGAGGGACACTGGGCATTAAGCATGTATAAGAAACTATGCTCTAAGCTGGTCACTCCTAAATGGTAACCTAGGGATTGTATAAAGGGGTAATGGTGTCTCCCAGTATTCCTGTAACAGTAATGGTTTTTCCCAAAGTTGGAGAGAGACAATTGTTAATTACTTAATATGTGGCACTGTGTCAACTAAAAAGTCCATCATTCTGTTCCCCACTGTCAGTTGTATCCAGGGCTCCTGTGGGGATATAGCCACCAGTTGCTCCAAATCTAAGGGACTCCCTGTGATACATCCGTCTTCATCTAAATATTCTTTTCTCTCCTCATCTGATTTTGAGGGAGACTGCACTTGCCAGCTGCTTTGGTCAATTTGGGACAGTCCTTTTTCCCATGTCCCTCCTTCTTACAATAGGCACATTTTTTTTCATAAGGGGGCATGGACCCCTCTTAACTTTGATTTCTTCCTTTTCCTTTAGGTTGGTAGTCAAGTGCAGCTGCCAGCAGGTTACTTGTTGCTTCAATTTGCACTTTTCCTGAGCCTCGTCCTGAGCATAGTATACTTTAAAAGCTAACTCCACTAACTATGAGATTGGCAACCCAAGGATCTCACTTACTATTTGCAGTTTTCTTTGAATATCAGGGCTTCTGGCTGATTAAGGTCACACTGACCATTCTCTGATTGTCGGGTGCCTCAGGGTTAGTGTCAATCTACTTTTCATTATGTCTGATGACATCTTTCTATGAATTATGAAGGGTCCTCATATGCTTGCTGCTGAACTTCCTGTACCTTATTGAGGTTCTTTACCTGAGGAACCCCTTTCTTTAAACCTTCAATAATGTAATTCTGATAGTGTCCTAAGTGGGAAAGACCCCATCATTTACATCCCAGTTGGGCTCTGTGTTGGGGACTGACCCTTTGCAAGGGGCGATTGTTTCCCACCTCCAGACAGAGCTGGTTTGCCTCTTCCCTAGCCTTTTCTGTGACTACATGCCTTTCTTCTGACGTGAGCAGCACTTTAACAAAGTGAATATCTGCCTTGTGGGGTTGATAGGTCAGAAATATAGACAAGAAGAGCTCAGCCATTCGCTTACATTGGGATAGGGGGGATTACTGTTTTTCCAACTGAACAGATCCAAAGTGGGAAAAGGAAATGTACCCACACCATGCCAACCTGTTGTCCATTCACGTTTAGTCCCCTAGTAGGGAACTGATGCAAAGGAAACTGCCCTACCAAGGGGCCAGTGGCTCCCTGGCCAAATTGGGTTTTCTGTTCATTGCAGGAAGGGGAGACCACAGCCTACCCTAATTCCATAGGGAGGACAGGTTTGGGAGTGTTCCCCTCCTACTCCAGACAATCCCATAAGGAGGGGGTGGTGCTGGAGCTACAGCTGACTGGGGAAGGGGCAGAGGATCAGGATGATTATTCAGGGGATTCAAAGCACCAGTGTCCTGTCTTCCCCATCTAATGAGGGGGAGTGTAAAACCGTAGGTTTAGGTTGTTTTTTCTTTTGCAGCATCAAATTATACCTCTTTTGAGTAGGTTCATTCTGATATAAGAGCATCAAATTATACCTCTTTTGAGTAGGTTCATTCTGATATAAGAGCATGGAAGCCTGGACATACAGGATTGCATCCTATTTTCTCTTGTCTTACAGAATAGTTCCAGTTGCATTATAGTAGCATAACTTAAAGAACAGTGTGTCGGCCATTTGTCCCCAAACTCTAAGACATATTCTGGCCAAGCAGCGTTACAATAAAAAAGCATTTTATTTTTCTTCATGAACTCATAGCTGAAAGTGGCCCAAATCTGGAGAATACAGCCAAGGATGCTACTCTGTGGGATCAATTCCAAATTTACCATGTTCAGTCTTTTCACAGACACAGACACACACACACTAAAAACACACACACCCCCCAAAAAACAAACACACACACACAGACACACAACCCAAAAAAACAAAACAAAAAAAGCCCAAAAAATCACAAACAAAAAAACCAAACTCTTACAGGAAACAAGCAAATGGGTATAATCCACCATTCTATTACTCCCCAGAATGCCCTATTCACATTATAAGCAGAGAGAATGAGAGATGTGGCTGTGTACACAGCAGCGACTTACGCTTCAAACCAAAACTGGAAGTCCAGATAGCAGTCTGAAATGTTTCTCTGCTCTAAGCTTCTAGAGCACCAACGGCAGCTGACACTGACGCAGAAGACTGACTTTACGGCCCCCCAACAAACAAACCTGGGCAGCTTCTGGAACTCATTCGCCTGACACGGCCCGCGCCTGCTGCCATGCTAGCCCTAGCATGGTTGACAAAATCTGTTGCACAACGCTGTAAGTTTGGTTCAGGTACCTGTTGCTCGGTAAGCCAAACACTGACATATCAGTGCCTCAGAGCAGAGAAAGGTTTTTTCAAGTTTACCAAAATATGAGGGTGGGAGAGGCAAATTCTCATATCAACCTCCCTTTGAACATAACTGGTGGCTTTTATGAGTAAGGAAGGTGTGTGGGAAGTGAGATCTCCTGATTATCAAAGCTGCTTGCATCCCTTGGCCAAACTTCTGCATGCTATCAAGGAGGTCAGCATGACCAAGGATCATTGTTCTTTATAAGAAAAACAAGCTCATTAATCTTGCAAACATCCCCTGGGGGTTAGGATATGAAGTTAATCACTTATTAGTGACTACCCACTACCAAAATGACTATGTGCAAGCAATCCTGACTGGAGGAAGTTAAGGACAAAGAGAAAGGAAAGTAAAACAAACGTGGTTTTTATAACATAGGTTTCGTTACATTGCTATATTTCATCTAAGTGATGGCTATAAAGTTTTCTCTGCTTGCCACATTTAACAGAGATATAAAAGACTAGATATAAAACCCTTTCTTGCTAAAAGGCTGGTCTTGAAGAGTATATCACAAAGGCTCATCATGAATACATCATGAAGGCTCACTTGGGAAGAAATTGGAGGAAGACAACTAGTGAGGCAAAGAGAACAGCAGGGGCAGGTATGGAAATTCAGCTAGTCTGTTTTAAGGAGCCTCAGGGCAGGCAACTTCTGAGGAGGACACTGTCAGCAGAAGTGCCATCGTATTAACATTACACCTTCATAAAAGTTTCCTGACCCTGTTGTCCCCTCTGTGTCCTCCTCATTTCAGTTAACATGGTTCAGTAAAAAAAACAACAAACTAGTCACCATTTGATGTCTCCTGTCTCATTTATTTAACACACTTGTTCTGTGTCTAAGAGGACCAACAACTCCTCATTTAAAAAGGGCTTTAAGCCAGGCATGGTGGCTTACACCTGTAATCCCAGCATTTTGGGAGGCCGAGAACACTTGAGTTCAGGAGTTCGAGACCAGCCTGGCCAATAGGGTGAAACCCCATCTCTACTAAAAATACAAAAATTAGCTGGGTGTGGTGGTGCACGCCTATAATCCCAGCTACTCAGGAGGATGAGGCAGGAGAATGGTTTGAACCTGGGAGGCGGAGTTTGCAGTGAGCCAAGATTGCCCTATGCACTTCAGCCTGGGCCACAGAACAAGACTCTGTCTCAAAATAATAAATAAATATTAAAAACAATTGGATGGCCGACTAGGAACAGCTCATGATTGCAGCTCCCAGTGAACGTGCAGTGAGTGGACGCCGCATTTCCAGACAGATTTTTATTGCACACAGAGCAGGAGATTCCCAGGTGGAGGAGCCCCATGGGTCGCCAGTGTGGCTGTTTTGGCCAGCACAGCTGTTTTGGACGGAATGGCTACTTTGCTGGCGCCCTGGCGCAGCGGTTCTCCGTACAAAATACACTGGTCCGGGTGCGCTTTTAGCTGGCCATTGGAGACCCAGGAAGGCAGATCGCCCATTCATCTGATTTAAAAAGGAACTGAAACAGGGAGCCAGGCCAGGAGATTCCTGGGCAAAAAAACCTCCATGAATCTCAGTGCCGCTGTTTCAGCCAGCGCAGTGAGTCGCCGTACGGGAAGTCACACAGATCCTGGCGCCTTTTCAACAGGCGACTGGAACACCTGGGAGAGAGTCGACCGTTCAGAAAAACACAGACTCTGAGTCAGGGAGTCACGTGATCAGGCACGGCTGGACCCACCCCCCAAAAAAAAAAAAAAAAAAAAAAAAAAAAAAAAAAAAAAAAA